CCTCAGCCTTTTTGCCGGGCTAGCGAGCCAATTGCTAGCCGCCACGTAGGAATAATTTAAAATTGACCAATAGTGGGACGCTAATTTGCATACGTGTGGCGGGAACTCTTTTGCACCGGGGATTTCTCTCTGCAGCTGAGAAATCCACCGTGCAAAGAAAGCTCCATGTGGCAGGAAAATTCCAGTGTGCCAAGGCACTAAAAATCATTGGGTTATGACAAGTGGGAGCATGGGGCCTGCACATTATCTGAGGTGAGCTTCAGCTCATGAAACCTTATGTTATATACATTAGGGCTGCGCAAAATTTCACTGGGTGTTTTGCTTTGAAGCTGTTTTCAATGTGTTTCAAGCTCGAAACAGCAACATCAAAATGAAACAAAAGGCTTTGAAACAGCTTTAAAATGAAATGAGGGCACTTGAAATGTTCTGAAAGTTTTGAAACATTTCAAGTTTCAAAGCCATGCTTGCTTGGCTTCAGCACTGGTCCCAATCAGCAGCAGCAGCCTGCTGTCATCCCGCATGCAGATCCAGGAGCCCACACCCCCAGGAGGAGTCTGACACAGCCCTCCCAGGTGGGTGGGCCCCCAGATCTGTGTGTGGGATGACAGGAGGTTGCTGCTGCCACCTGGGACCGGTGCTGGGCACAGCCAGTGCCCAGAAGATTGCTGCTGCTACTGGCCCCCCAGCAGCAGCAGCAGCCTCCTGTCATCCCGCGCACAGATCTGGGGGTCTGCACCCCTGGGAGTGCTGTGGGGCTGTGCTAGACTCCTCCTGGGGGTGTGGGCCCGTGCATCTGCACACAGGATGACAGGAGCCTGCTGCTGCCACCTGGGACCAGCACTGGGCACAGCTCATGCCCAGCACCAGGAAGTGTCCTGCTGCCACTGGTCCCAGGCACCAGTGGCAGGCTCCTGTTATCCCACACACAGATCTGGGGGCCCGCACCCCTGGGAGGAATCCGGCACAGCCCCACAGTCCTCCGGGGGAGTGGGCCCCCAGATCTGTGTGTAGGATGACAGAAGGCTGCCGCTGCTGCATGTGGCCAGTGGCAGCAGCAATCTTCCCAGCCCTGGCCACAGGGTGCACCCAGTGCCGGTTCCAGGCAGCAGCTGCAGTCTCCTGTCATCCTGTGCATAGATCCAGGGGCCTGCACCCTTAGGAGGACTGCAGGGCTATGCCTGACTCCTCCTGGGGGTGTGGGCCCCCCAGATCTGTGTGTGGGATAATGGGAGGCTGCCGCTCCCGGCTATCATCCCACATGCAGATCCAGGAGCCCACACCCCCAAGAGGAATCTGGCAACTGTTTGAGGTGCAGTTTTCCAGAAACCTTTGCACCTACCTCTTTGACACTTGGCAGGCTTCATGCCTGCAGATGGGGCTACCATCCCTCCAATTTTTATATACATTAGGCAAGAAATGACAAAGTTACAGGCATTTTCATGATTCTTCATTATAGCCTATGGGCGAAACATTGAAACGACGAAACAGTTTCGGCGAAACGGAACGGTGCTTTGAAACTAAATGAAACAAAACAAAACACTGTCCCTTCTAAATGGTGAGACGGAAGTCACAATGCAGTGGTGCTGTTTTGCCCAGCCCTAATATACATATATATATCTACTTTGATTATTTTATAAGGTGCAAATTATGTATGCCTTCTACATATAAATTTAGCCACTAGTGGAAAATCCACTGATTCTTATAAAATTCAATCAAAATGTTTGCCAGCATTCCAAGGTTATATACTGTCCTTCAATTAGAGTCATGGGAAATATTTGATAATTTCAAACCTAACTGTATAAATACTCAAAAATAATCCCTAGAAATGGATCTTGTGTCTTTGCTTGAAAAAATCTGACAGTGCACTCTGATCTCAGAACTAGTATATCAGTGAAATTCCTCTCTTCTTCCCTCATCAAAAAACCCGTTCAGTTTCTCTCAACAAGCCACTAAAATGAAGCATTTTAAATCAGTCAAGTGCAGAATAATCATGATTTTGGAATCAGACAGCTGGGAAGGTTCCCTTTGGAGATGTAAGTATATAAAATTTTAATTGCCAAGCAAAACCGAAGGGATCAGTTAGTTTGTTTCCCAACTGCAATACTAAACTGAAAGATATATTTCATTAACTTGATTCTGCAGATTTGTTATAGCCCTAATTATTAAACAACTGTGTTAGGGATACTGTGGTTGGCTTCATTAATGAGAACAAGATATAGTCAGATTAAAATGATAAAAGCCAAGGCTCAAGCTTTTCTGAAGCTTTCCAAGATGAAGGACATAGATGGAACCAAATCTTAATAGAAATATGCTTCAGGTATAATCCAGGGGTTGGAACGAGGAGATAAGGATAGGACAAGGACCAGAAGTGATAGGAAGTACAGCACTTTCTTATCTATTAATCCATCTCTTATCTATCCATTGATCCTGATAAATTTATCAGGATTACCTAGATCATAAATGTCCACATAACAAAGTCAAGGATAAGAGACAAAATATTCATATTTAGTATATTGTTAAGACAGTAACACAAAAGAATTACACATTTTAGATGCAAATTATTTAAAAATGTAAAATATACCTTTAAACTCAATAGATATTCACAGACTGCATAACAAATGCCAATACCTTCTTCAGTACTGGTACCTCTGCCAAGTTCATCAATTATAATAAGTGATCTGTCATTAGCATTTTGTATGATATAGGCTATCTAGAAAAAAATAATATTTTGTATCAGCTCTGTTAGTAAATTGCTAAATCCCTAACTCTTAATATGCATACATTGTTTTATTTCACCTGAAATATAACTCTTAGCATAGATTCATAGATGCTAGGGTCGGAAGGGACCTCAACATACCATCGAGTCCAACCCACTGCCCTAGGCAGGAAAGAGTCAGCCTTCTCTTAAAGACCCCCAAGGTAAGGTAGAGAACCACCTCCCTTGGAAGCCCATTCAAAATTCTGGCCACTCTTACTGTGAAGAAGTTCTTCCTGATGTCCAGCCTAAATCTGCGCCCTGTCAGTTTGTGACCATTGTTCCTTGTTACCCCAAGAGGTGCCCTGGTGAACAGAGCATATCCGATTCCTTGTTTCCCTCCCCCAATGAAACATTTCCACCACTAGAAAATCATTCTGGGGGAGGGAGCAGTACAAGCATTTAGCCTGCAGCTGCCTCCTCTCCCCTGGTCCTTGTGCCTTTCTGAGACCAGGGTGATCCTGTTCAGAGGAAAATGTGGGCAGCAGCAGGTGCTCCAGTCCTCCCATTCCTGGGAACAAAGTGAGCAGCTCCTTCTCAGAACAGAGACTACTCTGAGGAGCAATCAGGGAGCAAGGAATGGTTGCTCATCCACTCAGCTCTTAATGCTTCCATAGGATATTCTTGCTGCCCCCATCTGGTGCTGGGAGCCAGCTTAGGGTTAGCCTCCCCAAGCCCAATTCCTGGTCCCCAAGCTTTGCTACCAAGCTTTTCCACATTAAAAATAGAACTTTTTGGCCTTTGTCTTTTTATCCCTATATTGGACTGAAATTCTAAGGGGTGGGAGGGGGGGGACAGGTGGACATGGCATTCAAAACCTGAGGGCTGGGAACTTGGCTGGGGCTAGCAAGAATAGAGGGGCAGTGTATAAGCATTCACTCTTGCAATAGAAAGTCTCTCATAAGGAAGATTTTTCCAGGTTAAGACCTCAAAGATCTTCTCCTGGAAGAGGCATGTTTCTCCTGGGAGAAATTCAGTGAAGCTGGGTTTGACCCATAAAGTCCTAAATGATCTGACTGTACACTTCATAACACAGGGAAGATAGATATGAAATGTGAGGGGGCTTTTACTGCATTTTTATTATATATAAACAACCTCCTTCAGTGGAAATGAAATATATAATTATTAGCCAATGTAACCTGTAGCTGGCTAAATGTGAATTAGGCCCTGATACACAAAACACCTAAGCTTAGTACCTATACCTCTTTCATTTCCTTCATGAATGTTGATGCATTTGTTTCTATATCATCATCCATACCAATTCTAGTAAAAATTTGTTCAGCAATTCTAAAAGAAGAATAGTCTGCTGGAACATAAGAACCTACAAAATAAAGAATACAAGATATTTTATATTACGATCAGTAGCAATATTATTGATAAAAACACCCTTATTTAATATGGATATAAAATCCCATCTTCTTTTTAGAAATGCATTTTACTGCTCATAAGTAAAAGAATATTAATAAAAATAATACAAATAGCATGAAAGAGTACTTATCAGGTAACTACTGCTCACCAATCTGTGCCATAATTTGACATAGTGCAATCTGTTTTAGGTAAGTTGATTTTCCACTCATATTTGGTCCTGTGATAATGACAAAATTGCTGCCCTCTGTGAGATATGTATTGTTAGGAATGGGTTTTTCCAGAGATATCTTTTCAAGAATAGGATGCCATCCCTGCTTGATTGCTAAGGTATCAGTGAATTCTGGGCGAACTAAACCAAAGTAAAAATGATAAAATATATATTAAGCATTGAACATACAGTATTTGCTTGCATCTAAGTTGAACCTGACTTTAAGATGGCCCCCTAATAATTGGATTCTACACATGGAAACTTTATAAATTTGTTATAATTTTCCAGGTATAGAATCTAATTATCAGACGGCTGTCTTGAATTCTTCCCCCTTCCACTGCTACAGCAGTGCTTTGTCCTCTGTCATTCCCCAACTTCTTCCCTGTGCAGCCTTCCTGACCCCTGCCACTAACACCTCCCTACCCCCAGCTCCCCACAGCACCTCCCCTCCCCTCCCCACTTATTCACAGAAGCAACTTGGGTTCTATTCCCTCCTGGAGCATAGCACATGGAAGCTCAAACCCTGCCAGGCCATGCAGTGGTGTTGGCATTGACTGGATAGGCAGAGGACAGAGTTTTATTGTGCTTGGTGCCAGGAGGGAATCCAGCCCAAGCTGAAGCTGAGCTGTGCCTGACAATAAGAGGGAGGAAAGGGACAGAGGGGGTCAGAAGTTGTAGAGGGCAAGGAGACAAGGGAGCAGGAAGTCTGATTCTGGCTCTGACCTGGGCTCATAGCTAGACTCAGAGCCACAACAGCTGCTTGCCGCCCCCCACCGCTCACCCTCTCGACTTTGTATGAAAATCTAAGATGAGTGGTTTTCTTCTCCCATTCTGACTGAGGGAAAAACCCTCATCTTAAGATTTGAATAAATGTGGTGTGCATGTGTGTGTGTGGTGTGTATGTGGGCTTCCACCTATTATGAAAAAAATGTTCAAATAAGTGTCACTCTTACAGAAGAAAGCAGAACTCCATGGACTTGATTCTGTTACTTTTACTTTTGTTAAAAATTATCTTACCACATGTGTAGTTCAGTAGTCAGTGGGGCTATTCACAAGGAAGGTACTATTCAATGTGAGTAAGGATGGCAGAAGGAGGATATTTCCATGTAAAAGACCTGGCTTATAGCTATCAAATCAGTAAGATAGTGCACTTGGGAAAACTAATGGACTGTTTTCCAGTGGAGATTATGTCTTATATACAAGTCTTTATGATTTATTACAAAAAAGTAAAGTGCTGTCCAAACTCAAATTAATATTCAATGATTGCATTCAGCAACAAGTGACATAAGACATGAGTAATAAAGGAAAGAAAAATATGAGAAATGAGACTATAAAAGTAACTCATACACTAAAATGAAACTCCATTTTAGCTTTATAGATGACTCAAGTATGAAAAGATAAAATACAAGTGTCATGAACTAAATCTGATACTATTATAAAGGAATATACAATATAAACACAGGGAACAAGGGAATAGCCTTCCCTACATTTTTATTAATATTTGCTGTCAATGAAGATCTGAGGAGTCTATCTACCTGCAACATTTCTGTTTGCTGTTGAGATTTTCTGTGTGCCTCTCTGATGAATTACTAAGTTCCAAATTCAAAATAGAATTTTTGCCCTCTGTATCTTTTTATCATTATCTTGGATTGAAATTCTAAGGAGTGTTAGCACAGGATCAACAAATGAAAGTCATACCTTTGATGACTGTCCATTTAAATGGACCACCCTTGGACAAAGAGGTGGCCAACAGCAAGAGATAACGAGTTTTTCAGGTGTGAACTCCAGAGAACAGTTAACTAAGCTTATTAGAGAATTTTAATAATTTTAAAGGGGGGATTAGAGAGCTATCTGATAAAGGAGATTGGAAGAAACAGTATTACATAAGGCAACTAGGGAGAGAGAAAGCAACACAGATCAGGTTTATACTACAGTTTCGATGGTGTAACTATATAGGTGAGGTGAAAGACAAAAGAGCCATCCCCCAGCCCATACATCTAATCCTGCTAAACCTCTGGTAGGAAGCGGCTATCGCAAGAAGGGTGCTTTCATCAGTTTAGCTAATGACAGGAGATGATGCATCAAACTCTCATACTGCTTTCTCTGAGGAAGCTCTTCTGATTTGGCTGTGATGGTAAACATAGCAAGCCCAGAGTGTCTGAGGTGGGGAGCTTGAATGGGAAATCCTGGGCACTTCTTTGCCCTGGATAGCAGCAACACATGGGGCAGCATCAGTGGGCTGGGCTACCAGCAGCAAAGGCTGGGCCAGCAGTGCAGTGGCTGCTGTTTTTGCATTTCTCCCCAATCTACAACTCAGGACCTGGGACTGCTGACCTAGTTGCCCACCTTTGGCTATGCTACTAGGAAAAGCAGATGGAACAGGTTATTCCATGTTCCGGAAAAGAAGCCATATGCAGGATTTGAAATGGGAGGAAGAATCCTGGATTAGAGGTCTTTGAGGAAGCCGTGGCAATCATTTTTATTCTGTTCAGACTTGTCATTACTTCTTGTGCCAGTTAAACCATGACTAGCTTTTGAAACCCTTACAACTATGTAAAGGATTTCAAAACAGTAACTATGCATCTGTTTTGCCATCACATATCTCTGAAAAGGTGACCTGTAAACCCCGAGTGCCCTCAAAGCTGGAGTTTTGGGCTAACTGGTGGCCCATAAATGTTAAAGTTGCTGCCTGCCAGGTTTGTTAGTGCAGCTGCCAGAGCCACTGTACTGGTGCAGCTTCAGAACCCATAGGGTGAATGCTGTTGCTACTTAGCCCCCCATTCCCTTGCCCATCACCAAATTAGGAGTCTTTGGTCACTGTCGGTGACTAAAATTGGTGGCAAAGAAAAAGAGGGGACATGAAGTAGTAGTGTTCATCCCCTAGGTTTTAAAACTCATGTTTATCATTAGCTGGGGGATTTGATGGGCAAGTTCCATTTTGGTGAAGGGACAGTAGTTAGATAGTCCATTGCAAGCAAAGTGTGTCAGAGAGGCTGGAGTAGGAGATACTGACTGGAGTCTACTTTTACCCAAGGAACCTAAAAGTAAAAGTCCCGGAAGTCAGAACCCAAACACAAGCAGCCTGGTGACTGGCCAACTAGGCCATGTTCACCAGAGCTTTGCAGAGTAACTAAGAAGGAAACTTACCATAGTCAGAAATAGTGCAGGTGTGGGCAAATGACAGCAGCATGTCCAGCATGGATACAGTGTCAGAAAGTTTGTACAGACAATGAATATGTTCATAGACCTCACTCAGTAGTTTACACACTATTCTGTAAGCAGATGGTTATTATTCAGTTCTGGTATATTAAATTTAATTGCCTTACATATTTTACAGAAATAATACAATTATTAGCTTAAACTGTTAACATGGTACTTAATAGCATGACAGGCACTTTCCAAATGAAAACCAGAAATATGGGCAAGTCTGTGAATTTCTGAATAACATATTAAATGGAGAAGGGAAGGAAATTATCAACCTCTAGGCTAATTCTGTTATCAAATTGTGGCTGTAACTCCCACTGGCTTGCAAGAGAGCTGTTTCTGCAGAACTGGTTCTCTAAAATACAGCTTGGGAATCAATAGTATCAATATCCAGAGTATGACTTTTCCATTCCCTGAGTTCATGGATCAGGATAAATTCCAAGGAAAGGAACGGCCAAAATGGGCCATTTATTTACTGTGCTAGCTTTACGAAATTGATAAATTTGCTGCATCTTTTTATGTTAATAATACCCCTACAAACTGTTTAATATTTGTGATGAATAATAGGGCTGTATGAAGCTTCGGTTACTGATTCGATTCGGAAGAGATTTGGCCTGATTCAGCAGCCAAATCTCCAAATCTGAATCAAATCAGGAGACCCATTAATCTCTCCAAATCAAATTAGAAGCCTCTGATTCAATTTGGAGAGATTCGACAATTCTGCCATAGACACAGCTTTACATGTTTTTTCTACATACCTCAAGGTACTAGGTGGCCCATGAACGCCGAGATGGTGGGGCGGATGGAGTGTCCCACGGGACTGTGGGGGGGACCCAGCATGCTCAACAGCAGATGAGGAAGTGGACCAGAAGCACTTCTGGTCCACTTCTGGGTCCGCCGCAGAGCATGCAAGGGACTCCCCCCCATGTCTCCTCACTTGGCGACTGGTTCTTCTTGGGTCGGTGGGGGGCACTTGGCTGCCCCCCACGGCTGATTGCTGAACCAGAGGGGCATAGGGTCCCCTGCACGCTCGGTGGTGGACCTGGAAGTGGACCAGAAGCACACAGGGGGCTTGCCTGCGCTCCTGTGGGATGCTCCATCCGCCCCACCATCTCAGCATTCACAAGCCACGCCTGGTACCTCAAGATATGTAGAAAAAACATATAAAGCTGTGTCTATGTCCAAATTGCTGGTTCGCTGAATCAGAATTGATTCAGATTCAGATTCGGCCAAATCGAATTGGGACAGTGATCCAAATCAGCAAATCGAATCGCTGTCTCCCAAATCGGGCCAAATCCGAATCTGAATCGAATATGGCCCACTTTGCACATCCCTAATGAATAACTTCTTTTTATGTATAAAACTTAATACATTTCAATCATGAGTTGATATAATATAATTTGGCCTTTTAATTTTCTCTCTCATGATGTGTACTTGCACTCTCTCCGTACAATGTTAGATTGCTCTTATAAATTACCATAATTTAACAAGTAAAACTGGTTAGAAAACTTTGTAATTACTTGTTAATGTGACAGAAATCAAGTTACCATAAATATTACAATGTTTGAAATAATCTTACAAGTAGGTCATGTGATAAATTTCTCTCAAAGACTCCTGGCACCTTTCATTCATTTTAATCACATCTGCTGAAATAAAGCTATATGTATTTTTTATTTTCATAATCTGTAGAGAAATGCCAAATAATCACAATTAACAATGGTTTCCAAAAAGCATAAAACATAATTACTTTACTGCAGTTTCCCTAAATCAGTATGGAAAAACAAGAAAATAAAATGAAATTATCAGAATGATAATACACCCTTAGAGCATTGCATATTATCTGACAATTGAATATTATGATACGTACAGAAATAATACACCATATAAAAGAACAAAATCAAATAAAGTCTAACCTAAATTACTTTCATTTAACTTCACTGGTCATTAATTTCATGACAACGCATCTTTAGAAGAATATGTACCTTTGTGAATTCTGAAGGAAGCTGACCATTGGATAAAACTGCAGAGTCTGCATTCATCTGGATAAAAAATCCACGAGAAGAACTGAAACTTGTCTTCAAAGGGAGGTTATATTTTTCTGCAAGCTGTGCTATCATTCCTATTGCAATATGAGGGGAAAAAGCAGCTATAACTAAAACACTTTATAATGTATTATAAAACTTGTAAAATCTAAACACTGAAGTCCAGTAAATCAGAATGCTTTGCTGGGACCTTGGAAGGAGCATTGTGTGGAGTTGAAAGGATTCAGATAACCATTTAAATAAGAGCTCTGACAGCACAGAACCAGTGGATACAAACTACCAGAAGAGAACTCTGGTACTCTTTTTAAAAGATTATTCATGTTATAATAATGTCTGAGAGATATCAAGGTTGGCTTGTCCCTCCACTAGGAAGAAAAATTTTCCAAAAAAATTAAGTTCAGATGGGTCCACTTTTCAGCTAGTGATGTACTGTCCTGTGTTCTCAACAGGAATCTTAGATCTGGTATGCTCAGTCTTTTCCTGCTTGTGACTCTAAAACAGTCCAGAAACATGAGGAAATGAGAGTAAAGTTAGGGATGGAAATTACACACAAACTAATACAAATGGTTGGAAACTAGTTCAAATCTGCAACATAAGAGAAGTTCAATGCACAGAAACTGCTTTCAAAGTGGCCAAAACCAGTTTAAGATAAACCTGGATGAATGTCGTATCAGACTTAACTGATTGAGGTTAAATCAGTTTATTGAACTTCTGCTCCAGATCCCCTCCAGATTCAAGTTAAATCACAGTCCCAAAGCATCCCAGGATGCTTTGCACCTCCCTCACAAACCCTCCCCTTGCAGGGTGGGCAGGCTAGCCTTGGCCCATGCCATTTGCTCCAGCAGAGCAGGGAGGCATGCTCTAGTGCATGGGTAGAAAAAATACAGCCCACAGACCAGATCTGGCCCACCAGGCCATTCTATCCAGCCCACGGGGCCCCTAAAAAATTTAGAAAATGAATATTTATCTGCACATGGCTGCCTGTCAAAGATGACAGGAGGCAGCGGCAGTAGGACCAGGGGGAGCCGGTGGCAGGACTAAGCAGCTGCAGCAGCAAGGCCAGCCAGTCCCCACCCCACCCCACCCACCCGGAAGCCTCTGCCTGGGACCCTAGGGCTGTTCCTGCCTCCCTGAGCCAGAGGGAAATTCAGATAAGAAGAAGGGGAGGAGGTAGGGAAGGACCGCAGGCAATCACCTGTCCCTCAGGGCCAGGCCAGGCCAGCTCCTGCAGTCCTGGTACTGCACCCGGGAACCATCTGCTGCTGGAGCAGTTGGTGGGTGGAGAGGGAGGGGGGAAGGAGGAAATGGCTGCAGAAGGCAAGGGGAAGGGGCAGTGAGACTGCATGTGGAGCACAGCAACTGCTGGGTGGGAGTGTGGGGCCTGTGCCAGTACACCAGCACAGGCCCCGTGCTCCTGCCTAGCTTTTGTTGCACTCCCCGCGCCCATTCGCCGTCACTCCCCCACCTCCTGCCGCAACCATTTCCCTGCTTTCTTGCCCACAGCTGCTGCCGCTCTGGCACCATGTGGTTCCCGGCTGCAGTCCCGGGCTGCAGGACTCAGCGGGAACTGGTCCAGCCCCTATTATTCTCAGTTGGCTCCATGCACTAACAGCTGGCCCGGTCCCGTTCTTGCTGCATTCTGCAGTCTCGGCCACGCATCTAGGACATGGCCAGAGCAGTGGGGGGGGGGCAGGTTGAAGGTGGAACAGGGAAGCAGCATGAGAAGGGCAGCAGTGGCAGACAGGAGGGGGAAGTGGTAGTAAGTGGGAGCATGGGGCCCACATGCCCCAGAGCCAGGAACGGCAGGAGCATGGAGCCCAGGCTTGGAGGAACACTGGTGGGGGCTCTCCCTGCTGCAGGGGGAGCTGTGGGCAGGCTGTGGGCAAACCTTTCCCCTCCATGCATGCCAAAGCTCTCCTCAGCCACCCTCACCCCACACATTCACAGCCCTCCACAAAACCAATGCCTACCCACACCCCAACACACACCCACATGCTCCTCCACCCAACAGACACACATGTAAATAAGGACATTTAGAAAAAAAATGAAATTAATGAATTTTGTAGTATGTTTGATTTTTAGAATATAATTTGGTATTTTTCTGGTTCTGAGATGGCAAACCCCCTTGCTGAAAAGAGTACTTGAGGGGGTGGGGAGGGACTTCTGGTGGCAAAGGTCAGGGGTTAGGGGGCAGGACTTCTGGTCCCAAGATGATGACCAGGTGGCAGGGCACCTGTCAAGGGGCAGGGCTACCCTTGTGGCCCTTGATGGCTTGCCAAAACTCGGGAAGCAGTCTTCCAGCTGAAATAATTGCCTGCCTCTGCTCTAGTGCCCCCTGGCTTCTGGCCTGGGTCACTGTAGAACTGTGGCTGCATTTCTGGAATTAAAAATGAATGTCTGTTCACTTGCTCATCATTTCAATCTATGCATCTTAGACTAACCTGCAAAGACTGAATTGTTTCAGCTTTGGGCTTTTTGACTACCTGTACTTAGCCTAGGTGTTCAAAAGGAGGGCTACAGTGAAAGTAGACTGAAGAACCTATAAAGAGGAATGAAATCTATCCATGTACTTTTCTTTGGATCTCAGAACTAAGGAAATTATGGCAAAATGAGGGGAAAAAACTAAATACTTACACTTTGTATACCACAGAGTGAACAGCCTAAGATAAAACGCTAACAGGAACCTCAAGATAATGGAAAATATATTATTAGTTCTTAAATTTGGATCTTCAGTTCATCACTCTTGCTAGCTAAAGTGTTAATCCATCTTATGATATCATTTGTTAACTGTCTGCTCAGAAAAATTACAGAAGCCATTCCAGGAGAAAAAAATACTCTTCACTTTTTGACTGAGTCATGTTCACAAAAGAATAGAAGCATTTTTCTAAAATGTCTATTGTTCACTTTAGCTTAAAGAACAAGATTAAGATGTAACTCACAAACAAAACAAAAACTGGTTAAAATATAAAGAACTGAGTACCTATCATTTGAAATGTAATAACTTTATATTGACAGTTGCAATTCTTTGAAATAATACTGTTTGAATACTTTTGACCAAATTTAGATCTGGCACATGTGGGTACCAAACTCACAGTGTTTATATACATAGATTAAAATGTGATTAACATTATGGTATTTTTGACACACTAATTGTCAATTTCTACATTCTAATTTTCTTATCAAGGACACAATTTACATTAACATTGTTTGTCTTTTCCGCATTAGGAAATCAGCATAACACATTTTTACAAAATGTTATAGTTCTATGTAGCAGATAAAATGTATTTTGGAGTTTCTGTATATGAAAATATAAGCATAGAGATACCTGCTATATCATCCACTATCTCTGTGTATGTTCTACGAGCTATATCAAGGAATTCATTGATGTTTGGTCTTACAGCATAGCACTTCTGGGTCCTCATATTCAAGCAGCCTTTTGTGTATCTGGTATCATCATTAATGACTGTCTTAATTTTTTCAAGTATGATTCCAAACCTGCACCATTAATTACATCATTGATGGATTTAGCTATGCAATATTAAACAACAACATTATCACCCAGAAATTACAAATAACTGAAGGCAGTACATGTTGGTAGCTCAAAATAAATATTAAAAACCGAATATATATTTTAAAATCTCAGAGCAACATATGGACACAGTGAACTATGAGTGAAATGTGCTACTATCTGAAGACAGACAGACATAAGATAACAATATGCACTTATTACTGGTGAGTCTGAGAAACTGAAATATTTTTAAACTGATTTTTTTTCACAGAGTACTTGACTGTTTTAAGAACTTGTTTATCATTCACTCACCCAATTATTAAAACCAACTTTGTTTTTATCTTGAATTCTTACTGTATCAGTTGAAAAAGTGAACTTCTAAAAACTTTACCAACTGCCTTTAAGAAGAACATAAAACAGGAGCTATAACTACAAATATTTAAAGATGAAATCCTATAGCCAGCCTAAGGAGACAGTTGGATATAAAATTCATGAAAATATCATCATAGTACCGTTTATCTTCCAGAGAACTGTAGTATGCTTTTAGCAAAGGTGTCTTGCAGCTTCGTAAGGCAGCCTATTCAAAATGAAAATATAGTACAGTTACAGATTTAAATGTATAAGCATTTTAAGTTTGTAAGGGATTTAGATTCACTTAGCCTTATTTGAGGTTGGGGTTATATGAAAAGAGCTCAAAAGGTCAGCAAGAAGTACATTTTTACCACCAGGAATTAACTATTTCTTATACAATCAAGAATTCAGTAACATTATGAATTTAATTTGTAAAGTATCGGATTCAACAATATTTAAAAAAGATTAATATAAAAATAAATTTAGAGGTACAGTACTCCTCTTATTTTTCGAGGATGTTACTGCAGTAACAACATACAGTTCCATGAAAGGTAAAGTAAATATAATACGTTAAATTGTGCAAAAATGAAGATAAACAGAAGGTTTGGATTTTATATGGATATAGTAACAGTCTGTAGTTCACCTTTAGAGGATCCACAAGCTCTAGGGTATGCTTCAGGTAGATTAAATTAGTTATTTTTGATTCAGCTGCTTTAACCTGTTGAAAAAATATTATCAATATAATTGGAATATACTTTAAAATAGCATACTTTCAAAACTATTATGAACTTTAAACACATTCTAAATGTGTCATTTCATAAATCACTGAATGTATGAAAAAACTGCTACCTGATTTTAGAAACAGGCTTTGAAACATTTGTAAACTTTCTATGTAACTATATTTTTAAAATACTTATTGTAAATGAGACATCTTACTCCAATGCTTCGTTATATTTGTAGTCATATTTCAAGCCATTCTACCCAAATGGTCGAGGGCAGTTTGCAGCAAGGTCCAGAAAGCCAGGTGCTCCTTCTGGCTCAGTGATTTACATTTCTCCCTCTGTTCATGTGAATAATCTCAATGATTTGAGACATGCAGTCCCAATTAAAGGACTCAGATTTGACAGGGGTACTTGATACTTTACAACCTGTATTTGCAAATTGACAAGTACAATTACTACTAACACTGCTGAGTTTCTAAAATTCTTATCTCTGGGGTTGCCTTCAGTAGTCCCTGCTGTTTCTATCTCTCCTGGATTATAGGCATGATTAAGAAGCCTTATGTTATATATAATAATACAACACTATAAATATAAAATACTCAAATATGCAAAGCCCTTGGAGGGGACCCAGTAATGGCCATCCACTTCCTTGGAAGTGGGGTCACTGAAGCAATCATTCATTCAGTGCACTTATTTCACATGGAACATGAAGCAGTGGAGTGAGCTCCAAAACCATTTCACTGGGCTCTTTTTAATTCGTTACATTAAAGATCACTGTTTGTGTCTGTGGCAGAGCACTGTGTGTGCCTGCCACTTTAAGGGCCTGGAGCTGGCAGCCACCAGGTGCCTGACAAGGGCAGCCATTTTGGAGGCAAGGGCTGCCTATATAAACAGGGCAGTTTGGCTGCTGGGGGCCAGGCAGCAACAATTGCCTGGCTGAAGGGCTGCTGAGGTCATCTGGAGGTAAGGGAGGAGCTGTAGGGGATGGTAAGGAGGCTCCTGGTCCTGGGCATGACCTAAAACTGCACCCTGCTGGGAGTGGGTGGCCTGGTGGGGCTCTCAGTGGCGCGGTAACAAAATTCTTATACTTCCTCTAATATTTGTGTGTGAAGTTGTATTACTACTGGCTCTTGCAGGTTATAAGCAGGGATCCTGGTTTTCTCCAATTTAAAAAAAATTCCCAATTGACCTCATTTGATGTCAAGGTGGTTCAAAATTAAATAGGCATCAGACAGGGTGGTGCATGATCTCTGCTAAGTTTTGCAGTTGTTATTAACTGGAGCTTGAAATGCAGTGGCACAGTGAAGGTCTTTGCTGATGACTTTGCAATGCTAGCAGGCAACACCAGCAGTATATAATAGATGAGAAGTAGCTTTCAAAGGCAAGCAGAAAAGGTGGGTTTGAAAAACCCAAGAAAGACACAACTTGTGTCTGCTTATAACCAGGGATCCTGGTTTTCTCTGACTTAACCCCCCCCCCCCCCCCCCAATTTTCAGTTAAAAAATAAATAAATAAAAAATAACCCCAAGTCCACATTTTTCCTTGATTAAAATGAAATACCATTTATATATATTATAAACGGTGCTTCATTTAAATCACAGAAAAATGTGGACTTGGGGTTATTTTTTTTTTTTAAACCAAAAATTGGGATTTTTTTTTATTTTTATTTTTTTTAATTAGGGAAAACCAGGATCCCTGGTTATGAGCAGACACGAGTTCTATCTTGCTTGGGTTTTTCAAGCCCATCTTTTCTGCTGGCCTTTGAAAGCTACTTCTCATCTATTACATACTGCTGGTGTTGCCTGCTAGCACTGCGATGTCATCAGCAAAGACCTTCACTGTGCCACTGCATTTCAAGCTCCAGTTAATAACAATTGCAAAACTTAGTAGAGATCATGCACCACCCTGTCTGATGCCAGTTTAATTTTGAACCACACTGACATCATACTTTTCAGTTCAATTCAATATTCTGAGCCATCATCCAGAGCTTTAGTCCTGCTTAACTGCAAACTTATCTTCTGATGGTGAAGATGTCAGAAGAACCACTAACACTAGGAGACACAGAACATTGCCCGTGCATGGAGGCCTTTGGCACTAAAGACTACTCCTTTGGCAGCACCCCTTCTTCAAGGTTAAAGGTGAAACAATACACTCTTGGGCTGGGTGTCAAATGAGGTTCTATCTGTAGGTTCTACAAACAGAACCCCATTTGACCCCCAGCCCAAGAGGTTATTGTTTCACCTTTAACCTTGAAGAGCTCTTCTGCTCACCACTAATGGGTTCATAAATCTATAACACTATGTTCCATTCTTTCTTAAGATGCAACCTTTTTTCTTACAATATATTACTACTTTGTAGATATATGTTTACATGTTTCATACTCTATTAAGATTTCATAGATTTCTAGGGCCGGAAGAGACCTATTAGATCATTGAGTCCAACCCCCTGCTCTGCCCAGGAAAGAGCACTGGGGTCAAATAACCCCAGCCAGATGCCTGTTTTAATCTCTTTTTAAATGCCTCCAAGGTAGAGGAAAGCACCACCTCCCTTGGAAGTCCATTCCATATTTTGGCAACTTTAACTGTAAAGATAACTGAATATTAAAGAATAATTGTTAAGGCAAATATATTTAGAAACATACTGTGTCCTGCTTTGGGAGTTGTACTAAAACTGAAAGAAGTTGTTCGGTATCCAGAAATCTTGAAATAACTGTAAAACAAAATTACATTAAAAAAAAAAAAAATCAGAAAATGAAGGGGAATGTAGTATTATTTTTTTTCCAAAACAGACACAGAAAATTGCTTTTTAATATTTTGGTTTATTAATCATCACATTCTTCCTTCATTTTATTAAGGAAAACATGTTGACAAAGTATTATAATTGCATCTACCAAGAAGCTAGCTGTCAAAATAGTACACATTTACATAATTTTTTACATATCCATAATCACAAAACTTGAATACTTATTGGACACCATATTATGACTAATATAATCAACTCAGCCACATTCTCTTTATTAATGAAACTTGCAAAAAATCTGCAATCTAAACAATGTTAATATCTTCTAATAAGGACAAAGGGTATAAACCTAATAAACACTACTGTTGCCACGGAGCCTCTGTTCCTTGATCAATGACTTGACTTCACATATTAATCCAGAAAAAATGTCAGACAACATACAAAGCAGACCATACTCAAGGGCCATAGGTTATCTTAAAACCCATAGCAACGTTCTCTGGTTGAAAATCCCCATCCAAATAGAAAGCTCCAGCTATGACAGACAAGAGAGAAACACAACTCCACAATTTCACAAGTTATATCCTCAGTAAGCCAACCCCCCCAAAATAAAATCTGCAAAAGAACAATCTTATCAGAAGGAATGGGAAGAAAATGCGCTACATTACTAATTATACAACTACAATGACTGAAGGAGGAAGATAACCAGTGAGCAGTATTGAATTATTGAAGAGGTAGAAGAATAAAAAACAGTGCAAAATAAAGATGAAAAAATCCCTCAAATCTGATTAATCCCTGCTATGTTCCAGTGCTTTAGAAGTGCTATGGGACTGAAGAAACAGCATTGCAAGGGACAGAGAGAGAAGGAAGAAGACTAATTATAAAGCACCACAGTAAATCAGGAGGAAAACACTACCTGAGATACACAACCAAGCAGAGGTAGCAGCCACTCTTCAAATGTTAGGCCAGTGGTTCTCAACCTTTTTTTAGACTAGAGGCACCCCTCAATAGATTCAAGACACCCCTTAGAAAATGCCAGCTCTTAGCTTTCACTATTTTTTTTGACTGCAGAAAGATAATAGAGAGAAATTTTTGTTTGCAAAGAGCTCAGAAAGACCACAACTTTAACACTATGGATTCATATTTGAAATCTCTGGGTTTATCCTGTGAATCACGTTTCACGTACCTAGACAGTACTAAGATTTCATGGTGCCTCATGGGAAGGAAGGTAAGTCATCCCAGGGTGCTGCTGAACTCTGGTTGAGAATCACTGAGTTAAGATATTAAGTTTTCTTGGAAGTCATATTACAATTCCTAGAAGCTGAGCTACAGATGCCACGGTATATTTCCAAACCCATCTTTATCATTATTAGGAACACAGAACTGAAAAAGGCCATCGAGTACCCAGCTATTCATAAACTGATCAGACACTACATTAAGTTTCTCATCCTCGCTACTTCTACTACTAGAATGCTCCAGAATCTCATTGCTCTGATGTTTAGACACTTTCTTCTAATTTCCTGCCTAAGCTTACTCACGGGCAGTTTATTTCTCTGTTCTTGGATCAATATTTACCTTCAACTTATATAGTTATTCCCTGCCTTATGTTTACCCTCCTATTGTAGCCCTACAACAGACAAAAGTTACTGACAAAATAGACAAAAAGACAAAAATGATAATGCTTCCCACCTTTTTTGCACAGCTAAACAAGACAAAAAACACTTTATTCCCCTGATCATCCTAATAGCCCTGTTCCAGTTAGAATTCACCTTAACTGGACACTGCATTTCAAATAAGGTGTTACTATAAGGGTGTGCAAAATGGGCCATATTCAATTCGGATTTGGCCTGAATTGGGGACAGTGATTCAATTAGTTTAGATCACTGTCCCAATTTGATTCATCTGAATCTGAAGCTTCTATGCCGATTCAGAGAATCAGCGATTTGGCCATAGACACAGCTGCAAATATTTTTTCTACATATCTCGAGGTACCAGGCATGGCTCATGAATGCTGCGATGCTGGGGTGGAAGGAACATCCCACAGGAGCACAGATGGCCACTCTGCGTGCTCGGTGGTGAACCTGGAAGTGGACCAGAAGTAATTCCAATCCACTTACAGGTCTGCCGCCGAGCACACCTGGGGGTTCCCCCACGCCCCCCACTCTGGCTTGGCGATCAGCCACAGGGGGACCCCGGGTGCCCCCCCCCCGACCCAGGAGGCACCAGTCACCGAGCTGAGGGGAGCATGGGGGGACCCGGAAGTGGACCAGAAGTGCTTCTGGTCCACATCCAGGTTGCTGAGTACACTGGGGATCCCCCCCTCCACGCTCCTGAAGGACGCTCCATCTGCCCCACCATCTCAACATTCATGAGCCGCCTGCTACCTTGAGATATGCAGAAAAAACATTTAAAGCTATGTCTATGTCCGAATAGTCAAATCTTTCCGAATCTCTCCGAACTGATTTGGAGGCTTCCGATTCGATTCAGAGAGATTAAAGGGTCTCCTGATTCAGTTCAGATTTGGAGATTCACCAACCAAATCTGGCCAACTATCCATCAAATTGAATCGGCGACCAAAGCTTTGCATAGCCTTATGTCACTACGATTTCATACAATACTATTAATGTTTTCAGATTTCTTTGGAAATACTTCACTGAGACATAATAACATTGTATTTGCCTCTTTTATTGCTGCATCATACTGGCTGCTCCTAGTAATTGGTGCGTTCAGGTCCTCATTCTTCTCAGTCATTGCCAATTAATGAGCTCCTAATGTGTAGCAGAAATTCTTAGTATTAGAGCTCAAGGGCATGACTTGGCGTTTTGCACCAATGAATTTCATTCCCTTCCTACTACTCTAATCCTCAACTTCATCCAGGTCTTCTTATGCACTACCCTGGTCCCCCTCTGTTTTGACAATGCCTCCTAACTTTGTGTCATCAGTAAATTTTATCAACACTCACCTTTTTATTAGGAGGGAAGTAGCATAGTAGTAAAATAAGAGTGAGTAGATCAAGTTATAACTGGATAAATGTACTCTACGTTTCAGGAAAAGGAAAGTGAGACATGAAGGCTGATGGGCTGGTGCTTTTATACTAATTGTGATTGACCACTTTTTTGCCTCTTGTTAGGGAGTGACATAACTGTCAATCTTTTCTGTTGGAGACTGGGAATTAAATAAAGACTGAAAAATTACAAGCCACTATTCTAGCTATTTGTGATGCTGGAACTATTGTGAAACATTCTTCTTTCAAATACTGTATTTGCAATATTTAAATTCTAAATGTAAAGGATATTCATGCTAGAGTCACACTGAAGATGTGCCAAATTTGATAGATCTGCCAAATTTGATAGATTAACATGTGTTCTGAGATGACTGCATGTCATCCAATATTTTTATACTGTAAATGTTGTGAAAAGATACATTCTGACCAAGAGCAACACTCCATTTAGCCAACCTCCCACCCCCCTAAGCTTACTTATCATATTTACTTGAATACAAGATAAGCTCCCCCATTTAAAAATGTAAAAAAATGTTCCTTGTCTTATATTCAAGTATGAGGAGATGGGAGGGCAAGCAGCTACTACAGCTCTGGCTGTAGCCCTAAGTACATGCTCCTTACTCTGGGCTGCAGCAGGGATAGAGCCTTCTAGAGTGGGAGCTGAAGCAAGGATAAGTGGAGGGGGGTGTTTTGGAAGGAGGGGGTACTAAGACGTAGGTGGGGCAAGCACAAAGGGAGGGCTGAGGTAGTGGGGAGGCAGGCACAAGTGTAGGGGGGCAGACAGGCAGCAGAGGGCAAGGTGAGGAGGAGCAAAGGGCAAGGAACAAGCCCGACCACTGGGGGATGTCTTAAATTCAGGGTCATCTTGGATTCAGGAAAATATGGTATATCATTCAAAACCAGATAAAAAGATTAACATTTTATAGCAAATTTGGCTAAACTAACTTTTGCTACTTAGCTTCATGTATGTTTACACACAACGGGCTTCCTGAGTTTTATATGCCAAAAATGAGAAGATACATAGTTTATAAACATTCAAATTACATTACAGATGCCCTTGTTTATTAGTGATAACATTCTACATATTTTTTGCAAAATTCTGCTCCAACATAATATGTGCCTAATTAAAGAGCTAATGGCCCAAATCAAAATTTCTTTAAAATGCCATTGGTTCATCTATTTCTTATCAAATTTCCTAGAGAAGTTTACAATTTTCAGTTAAATCATCAAGAAAAAGGTAACAAAACAAAGCTAGATAATAATAACATGTAAACTATCACTTCACAGACTCAAAAAACTTTAAAATTTACTTTAAAATCCATGACAAATAAATATCACAAAATGTGTTTTTTTGTATATTATTATTATTATTATTATGTGTTTAAAGTAATTAGTAAAAATAATTACTTTAGACCCCCCCCCAAGTATTTAGTAAAAATAATTACTTTAAACCCCCCCCCCCCAAAGTATTTAAAAATAAAATGTATTATTACCTTCCTGAAGACTAAAAAACAGTTCCTCATCCTGGAGTAGTTCCTGGACACAATCCAGTCTTGTGTTAATTGTTTCTGCATCAACCAGAGGCTCCAAGATATTGGACCTAAGTCTTCGGCTTCCACCTGGAGTTTTAGTATAATTTAGAATTCCAAAAAGTGTGTGTCTGTTCCTTTAAAAACAATACAAATTTAAAAAACAAAATTTCACAAAAGTACATGATAACTACTGACATTTTCTAATTCAATTATCTTACAAATTTACAGATGCATCAACCATGACATGAAAAGCAGTTTAAACCCTGAGGTTTAAGAACTTGACAATTATATCCTCACTGCTGTAAAAAGATGTCTCGCCTGCAGTCCATTCCTTTCTCTTCTTCCCTTTTTGTTTTTTGAATGTCCACAAGGTTAACACTGAGTACTAAATAAGTAAAGGATGTTTCTTCACAAAAATAGGTTTCAAAATTCAAATAAACTGCTGAAGTGGATTAGCTCCATCTCCTGGCCCCATGTCACTTCCACAGACAACCAAAAGAAGGTTCTGGTTGTGCTGCTATCCTCACATGAGAACAAGTGGCAGAGAGCATATACATGGCCTCAAAGATCACAGTGAAAGAAATAAGGACAAGGGCAGTCTCATGCAGTGGTTAGTGAAGAGGACTGGGATATACTACCAGGAGGAATCAGGGCCAAAGGCAGGGACCAGAAGCAGACACCTAAGGGTCACAGATGAAGCCACGGGCCAGAAGTCAAGGCAGAGAGGAATCGATGTCAGAGAGAATGAGACAAGACATATCAGGGCCTCTAGTCAGTCAGCCCAGGCAGGGCTGAACTCTTAAGCTTCCTCACTTGACCTTGATCCCAGAGGCAATGCAACTGCCCCAGTTCTCTGTAACTAGATTGGTTGCTAAGAGTGCCACTTAGCCCTTTTAAGCACACCTGCAACCTCAGGCTGCAGGCCCACCTTGATAGCCTCTGTCTGCTCTGGTGATCCTTATGTTCACTGATCTCTATGATTCTCCTGGCTCACTAAGCTTCAACTTTCCTTGACCCTTTGCATGTGGCTCTCTAATTTTCCTGGTTCTAATCTCTGCTTGCACCCTGGACTGCATCTCTTGGCTCTCCCACTTAGCTCACCTGGAAATTAGCCATGAGTTTTCTTTCTCCAGACCCTGACCTGATGCGCTGGTAACCTGTACCCCCACCTAGCTGATTTCCTTGTTGCCCTTCAGGGCCTAGCCACATACATCTTGGTTGACCCCTCACAACAGGCAGTCAAGAGCTGAAGACAGGGATCAAGAGACAAGTAAAAGGTTATGCACCAGGAACAGGAGTCAGAAAATAAGCCAAAGACCTGGAGAAGAGCTTCCAGTAACCACTACAGGTTTCAGTGTTGACCAGTCAAGGAACAACTGCAGAAGCTGCTCTTAATAGTAGATGTTTTGCTCCCAGCAGCCAATATGCATCTGGCTGCACTGGAGGCATCATGGCACTGGCTGGGCCAGCAGCATAACTGCTACTATTTTTCCACCCTCCCCACAGAGCTTGGGGATGATAGCCTGGTGTCCGGAGCCACTTTGTTATATTACTGAGTCTCTCAACTATTTCTTCTTTCAGGCTTGTTTTACCTTGTGTCTTGGGTAAGGGAGATAAGACCTAGGAATGGTAATGCATAGACACCATCTTTAAAGATTTTTTTTTGTCTAAATATTACTTCTAGATTATCAAAATATATTTACCAATTGTATTGGTCAAGTCTGCCATTTATTTGAGACTGGTACACCACACACACTATGCTATTCTCTATTTTTGAGGTTTTATATCCTTTTTTCCTACCATTAATAGGATTTTCTGATGTACATGAAAAAACTCTGAGGTAAAAACTACAAATTTTGTACTAAATTGTATTTCATTTCTCTATTAAAATTATTTAAAATCAGCTTTGCATAGGATGTAATTACTCTTAAAGAGGGACCAAAATTAACCATCAACTTTTTGTGTCTTGACAGACTTAACCCACAATATAGTGCATTATAAATCTATAAGAGGGGAAAAACTGAATTAGTACAACACAAAATGACCTTACCGAGAATCTCTATTATTAGTTACTAGTTCAAGGTTTTGGGCTGATGATGAATCTATCATAGCTGTTTGTTCACTTCCCTGGAAACAAACTTTGAGTGACTTAGGAGCATAAACTGAATTTTGAATAAATTCAACATATTTTAGTAAAGCTGCTGCAGCTGCTAGACAGTAATACCTGAAAGAGTAATAATATATTGAGTATTAAATATTTCTACATAACCAGAACAGAAAACACACACACACACACACACACACACACACACACACAGGGAGGGTATATGAAGGAGCAAGCTTTTGGCTTATTGACTAACATGGGTTGAGAGTAGTATGTAAGTCCAGGTACAAATCTTTAGTAGTGCAAGTACATTTTTGTACAGGGACTATGTTCAATATGCATATAACATAAGGTTGCCTTGTATACACATGAGTACTGTGCATATGCAAATCTGGAAGTGCAATTCAACACGTACACTGTTAAAATCCGACCAAGTACTTACCATATTTACTTGAATATAAGATTAGGTTTTTTGCCCTAATCAGCATGGGAAGAAGGCTCCTCATCTTACATTCATATACAAGGAAACCTCATTAAATGCAATGTCTATCATTAAACTACTGCCAAAAGCAGCATGTGCAGTATGGAAACCAACTATGAAGTTGATTAAATGCAGCGTTGGCACTGCACATGACTATAAAACACATGGCCTACATTGGGCAAACATACTGATGGGAACCTGTTTTTTCGTTTGTTTCTGTTTTTTTCATGTGCGGCCCTGAAACAAAAGGGGAGGGGGCTCCCTCCACAGGGAACTGGCACCAGGCCTGGAGATACTATAATACTAGGCAGGCACTGGGAGGGCCAGAGCCAGCTCTGACACTCTCCCTTTGGTGCCAAAAATGTTAAAGCTCCAGATAACAAAGTTTGAGGCACAAGGAAATATAGAAGACCCAAGCAAGTGAATATATAATAGGGGTGGGGTGGGGATAGGGGTGTGGACGTAAGTAAGTTACATATGGAACATGCAGCCAACTAAGCCCACGGGCGAGGGGGTGGGAAGGGGGAAAAGGTAGGGATGGGGACAGAAGGCTTATACAGCAAAGAATATATAGGAGACAGCACACAACATTATCTTAGCCAAAAAGGTTGAGGCATACACCACAAGGATAGGTTAGTGCAGTGAGATATGAATGAGATATATGGTAGTTCCCATTGTGCTCAATCCCTCTCAGCACCAACTCTTTTTAAAGTCATGATGAGCCACTACATTGAATAGATTTCAACTTCCTCTTCACTCCTACAGCTGAATCGTGCCTTACTTTTCCATTTCCAATTATTCCTGTTTCTTCAACAGCTTTAAATGCCTGTCAAACATCACCAAATAGGGCACCAAAGAGTTCATCCAGAAACCCTCTGTCACCCTCTCTTTCAGCCTGTCATATATTGGTGTGGCCCCACCCTCCATGTGGTAGAGCCAGACCAGGTTGCTCTATGCCTCATCTGCATATACATTTTTGGAGGACCCCAGGACTCGTGACAAGAATACCCAGTTCCAGTCATGAGTGGGAGAGCTAATTAGCACACGGATGCTTTGTGGGAGATATCCAGAGTACAAACACATACTGAACAATGCTGAGCTGTGGGGTTACCATGGCTTAAAATACTGTTGACTCTGCTAAGACCCAGCCCAATACACTACATGGTAAATCCTAAGCCTTATGTCTTTTGGATTAATATCATGCATATTTTTGGTTAAGATCACGTGAGACAGGGGACATCTGAACCCCAAGGTATGTGGACCTGGGATTTGCATGTAGGATGCCTGTCTGGATTTCGGGAGTATCGAAAACCACAAACCAATGGGTCTGGATAGGAGCATATTTGCCCCGTGGTAGAGCCACACGGACTTGACCACTGAGTTCTGCGGAGTCAAATTTTGGAACGTGATTATTAGGCTTTAAGACATCAACAGATTTCTTAATTAAACACATGGATACATGGAAAATGTTTGCTTATTAGTAAAAAGCTAACTATATTGATACATCCTAAATTTCATGGATGGCTGTACTGACAAGTGACAAGCCACTGGCTGCTTCATTGAAACTATAAAAACTTTTAAAGCCTCTTATTTGATAATATTACTTTTTTCTTAAATTAAACATACTTGGACTGAACTTCCATTAGGACAGTACTGAATTCAGATGCACACAACTGTTCAATGTGTTCCAACCCCTTTGTCTCATTGAAGTATTTTCTTTGGACAGTAGAAAAAGTCACATTCTAAAACAATAATAATAAAAGTGTCTCAGATGCTATAGAAAATTGTTAGTATATTTCATTCTGTTATTCTATAGATTTTTCTAGAGATGTATTATTCAAAGGACATTTTCCCATTGGTGATTAAGAAGCAAATTGTTTAAATATTTGGTCTAAACTATTACAATATGATCAGTCAGCAGTTCTATTATGTCAGCTCTACATACTGCAAGTGTAATGATTCTCAATTAGGGTTATGCAGCAGCCTTCCATGCCTTGAGATCCTTTCAAGGGTGCTACGGAGTGTCACAATCTTAGGGCTATTAGGTGTGCAAATATGGTTCTCAAGATAAACCCAGAGATTTCAAATATGAATCCACAGTGCTAAAAAAATTCTGAGCTGCTCTAATCTTTCTAGGTTCTCTGCAATGGAAGAATTATATGATTATTTTTCTGTAGTTAACAATTGAATGAAAACTAAAACCTGGCATTTTCTGAGGGTGCCTTGAGTCTAAAAAAAAGGCTGAGAACCTCTGTGCTAATGTAACCAACACAAACAGTGTATGACTTCATTTACCTCTAGGAACTGGTCCATAAAAAGATTTGAACCTGTTAGTTGCCAACTAACAAAAAGCCTTTCTTGCTCAAGCAGCAGAGATTCACACTGGGTTCAATTCCCCACTGAAAAACTAGTTAGAACATATTTTTACACTACCACAGCATTATGGCTGCAGTAAGTAGTATGACAAGCTATCACCTACCATAATTGGAACGAACAGTAGTCATCTAACCTTGAAATGGTACATAAAGAATAACTGAGTGCAGGATGAATTCCTGGAGCCATGCATGGGAATCAGGGCACAATGAGGAATTTATGAGGTTGGGAAGGCTTCTTAGATGAGGAAACCACTTATTAATGGGGACAAAGCAGCAAATACACTCATATAGGAGTGTGAGGCCAGGTTAGTCTTACTAGAACAGATATAGTTAAAAATTAAAAGAATATTTTCTAGCTTTAATAAAGATTAGAAGCTTTAAAACAGCACTTTTTTCCATCTGTCCTGTTTCCTTTTACAAAAAAATGTTTCTCTCTGTGCTTTTATTCAGTTTGTTGGCCAAGTTGCACACACTCTCGGTTCTTCCTGATTGGCTGCCTAGCACAAAAAGCTAATACATTAGAAAGTCAAATGAAAAATAAGCATGTATCAAAATTTTAGCAAATTGTTTGACAGTATTCTCTGGTATAGAATGTAGACATTGACAATAACCAATGTCTGGGGTCATAAGGTATACAATTTTGGGGAAGTTCTTAGCAACAGATAGTAAAATATATATTTGAAGGTGGTTTCAGTGAAAAAACAAGGGTAAATTTGACACATCTTTCTTTTGTTACTCCCTATTAGAAGTGTCTTCCCCCCAGGGTCATTGGGGTCAGAACTCAATGAAGATCTACTTAAGTAACTGAGGCAAAACACTGATTCAATTTTCCTATCTTTGCATCTTCAAGTGGTCTGCAAATTTATTGAAAATATTTCTATGCTGGAAATTCCAAGGCTTCTGCTTTAATCAGTGCTCGTTTTATTTATTAGGTAGGATTAGATCGAGGCTATGGAAGTAGCACAGATATAATCCCTTATAGTGGTATGGATAGGCCTGAAAGCATACAAGAACACCTAACTGCAATTAAGGCTTTTAAAAAGTTATAAAAGACCATCACAAATTAGCAACTATACAAAAATAGTCACACTGGAGTCCTTTAAAAATTAAATGAAGTCTAGGAAAAGACTACCTTGAAATTATCTGTTATCAAACTGAACAATTTTGTTGCATTTCCTGCATCACAGGCAGTATTTGACATTATTATTTCTAGTGGTGTTAAAATCTTGAGTTTAGTGACAACCTGAAAAAATTAAAACATCATCCATTAAAAAATGTTAGAACTCTCTAAGTATATTTTTGCAAACATTAACTAATCCACTGTCGAATTCTACACTCTTTGTAAATACAAGTCAATTCTACTTTCCAAAAAGATTTAACTTTCAGCTGATTCCTCTAATACTGAAGGAAAAGAATGTCATTAAAATTCTTAAAATTTAGGTAAACAATTTGCAGAATAATTAATCTCGTGTCATGAATATACAAAAAAAATTGAGACAGAATTAAGGCATATAAAATAAAAATGAAATATCTAATATAATACACGACTACTACTGAGGAAAAACCTCCTGTTTTCGCAATCAAAAGCAACTTTTCTGGAAGAAAATTAAATGTCAAGGATTCCTTTGATTAGACAAGGCTTTGGTAAGGATATATTTTAGACCTTGTTCTAACTTTTTCTCATACATGTATATGCTACAGTTTAGGGGTTGCTAAACTTCCCAAACTCAAACCAAAATTTGGACACGGTTGAGAATGAAAGGACACCAAACTTTTTAAATGTGTCCCAGAGTTAAGGATCTGCATGCAGCAGCCTAACTCAAGTAATAATTTATCAATAAATGACTTCTTTAAAATAATTAAGCAAGAACTTAAGAAAATCCACAATAGAGAATAATAAATGAATGGAGGGAGAGAAAAAGAATGCTTTTATTTAACTACTTCTCTTTTCTTCAGGAACCACATTTAAACTGCCCAGAAGGTGTTTGCAAGCTGTGGTTTGGCTACCCTTTCTACTTCTCACCTGCATTATTTCTTTTGAACATGGCTTAAGAGGTAGACATTTAATTTAGTTTTTCCTTTTAATATTAAATACCCATCTAAATAACATGGAGCCGGAATATAAAGTACAATTACATTGTGATGTTTCCTATGCAGAAGAGGATTAAGATTAATATATACCAAACAGAAGCAATTATTATCCATTGTTTAAAATGTTCTTATTTTCATTAGTGTGCCAAGTCCCCAAACAAGGGTGGAAACAGATGTCACCTGTGTGCCATCATAAAAGTTATATCTGTGGCTATGACAGAGGTGGTATCAATGGGTGCCTATACACATGCTTTGATGCATTCTAATTAAAATGCACTGGAGTAGACTCAATTGATTAAGTCTGCTAAAGTGTTCTAATTAAAGCGCCCCCATCGCCATTTTGAAATGCGGGGCACTGAATGCATGTGATGCTGCAGTATCACATGCATTCAGTGCCCCACGTTTCAAAATGGCGATGGGGGCACTTCAATTAAAACTCATTAACTAAAACAGTTCAAGCGCCCTCGCCATTTTGAAATGCAGGATGCTGAATACAGGTGATACTGGGGCATTTTAATTAGAGACACTGTCCAATTAAAATGCTCCCCCTCCACCCCAGAGCATGTGTATAGACACTGAATTTATGCTGCTTTATTGTGATAAGCCTCTGCTAGGTCTATGGCAAAAGAGCATGGTCAGCCTAGAGCTGCCTACACTCTCCAGCCACCCAAGGCAGGCACTCCCAAGACTTCTGGGGCTCCAACTTGCACACTTCAGCAATGGGAATTTCCATTCCATTCCATTCCTGGCATGCACAGGATTGGGCCCCTAAATGCCCACTTTTCTGGGTTCGCCTGTTTGAGGCGATGGGTTCACAATGGATGACGTGTGTTTCATTCAATGAGATGGATCGGCTGTACTGGGAAGTATCCCAGTACGGCTAATTTGCTTAATTTGGTGACTGTTGCTGGTATGTGTTGTAAGGTTTCGGGGCCCTCTTTGTCAGTGCCTTGCCCCTCAGTGATGTCAGCGTAAGACCCGGCTTCAGCACCACCTAGATGATCTGAGCGCTTCCCCTTTCTCACCTACCATGTCTTTGATGTTATTGTTGGGGAGGCAGTTCCCTGTTGGTGACCCAGAGGGGTCTCAGCCCTGGGGTGTCTTCGTGGGGCTCCAAACCTCCCCTTTATCCCAGCTTACAATGTCCTCAGCCTTAGGTAGATGCTGCTCCCCACAGATCTCCCACACTGCCCGTCTTGGAAGGGACTGGTCTTTCTGGCCGTCAATCTTCAGGGGTCTGCCCCTTGTCTTCGGGATGGCTTCCCCTCTTCTAAGAAATTAACCTGCCCTGTCCAGGGTCAAACTACAAACTTAACTGAGAATGACCGGCCCCTTTCGGCAGGGCTCCCTCTCTCTCTCTCTCAGGTCCTTCGATTCCCTAGGGAGACTCGTCTATCCCCCTCTCCTTTAGTAGGTGTGGGTACAGGTGACCACCCTGCACCCTGTTTCTAACAGCTCTTCTGGCATCCTCTCCCTGGGGCTCGGCTGACCTGAGGTCCAGTTGTCTTGGTCCTTCCAGCCAGCTTCACTTCTCTCCCCCTTCTGGGAGCTCATGATCCTCTGTGCTCTGCTCACTTCGGGGCTGTCTGATGATGCCTGCAGGCTTGAGGATCCATCCCTAGCCACAGTGCCTGAGCTCCTGGTTGGAGCTCTGCCGCTCCCCAGTGGCGTCTCTTCAGGTTGCTGCCCCTCTGCGGGGCTCCCTAACCCCGGTTGGCCCCCAAGGCTACCTTCTGCCTCATTGGTCAGGGTCCTCCGGCAAGCGGCTGACTCCTTCCCAGAACGGCTGGAGCTGAAGCCTCCCAGCTCCACAGCCAGCAACTCCCAGCCAGTGTTCTGCTCCCAATTTACCAGCGCCGGCTCAGCTGAATCCCCAGCTACCTTATGAGCAGACTGCACTACTCCAAAGCCATGCCCACAGCGTTCGCCTCTACGCAGGCTCAGGCAGCTGCGAAACTGCCAAGCCTGTGTCAGCATCTCCTCCCAACTGCTGCTCATTCTGGCTCCTGAGGTGAGTGTTGGGGCCATCAGGTGAGGGTCCGGGCCACGGCTTTTGCCTCCCCTCTCACAGTGACATTTATTTCTAGCCTAAGACCCAGAGTACAAGTGCTGCAAAAACAACAGATAGGAGATACAGTCCCAGTCTTATAGACTTTATGATCTAATTTAAAACAAGTGACAAAGACCTGAAATGAGCAGCAAGGATGCAACTATAATAAATTCATCAGGTTAGTCAATTAGTAGAAGTATTGCCAGTAGACTAAAGGAAATAATTATTCCCCTCTATTCTGCACTGGTGAGGACATATCTGGAGTACTATGTCCAGTTTTGGGCCCCCGTTATAGGAAGGATGTGGACAAATTGGAGAGAGTCCAGCAGAGGGAAATGAAAATGGTGAGAGGGCTGGGGAACATGACTTAAGAGGAGAGGGAGAGGGAACTGAGCTTGTTTAGCCTGCAGAAGAGAAGACTGAGGGGGGATTTGATAGCAGCCTTTAACTACCTGAAGGGTGGTTCCAAAGAGGATGGAGCTAGGCTGTTCTCTGCAGGGACAGAGGACAAAACAAGGAGCAATGGTCTGAAGTTGCAGCAAGGGAAGTTAAGGTAGATATCAGCAAAGACTTTTTCACTAGGTGGGTGGTGAAGCACTGGAAATTTCCCCTCTAGATTGCAAAAAGTAATTCTGAAAGTTTAATTCCTGATCCTATTTATAAAATTTTATGCAAAGAGGACATTGTAATAATCATCTTCATTCTGTAAAACACAAGCAAATACAGCAACCAGAAGGATTCAAAATTACCTTAGCATATGTTGAATTGTCTGCAAATTGGGATAAAATGACCTGGGGATTTTTTAAATCAATACTAGCCATTCCTACTTCACCTCGGGCAAGTCCTCTTCCTTCTACTACTGCTACAATAACTGACGCGGTGTTATGAGCAGAGACTGCAGACGAGGAAGTAACTGTAAAACAGTTGCATACATTTAAACGTATGACTCTTTATTATACAATGTGTAAATAATGTGCTTATACCTCCATATTCCACAGAAGAAAATATCCAATAATTGTCCGAATTTACTTTAAAAATTCTACAACCATCTACGGAATCCAATATCTAATGTATTACATAAAGAACAAATTCCTGTTTTTGAAACTAGGCTCACACACACACACAAACAAAAATAGGAACTGAGTGCATAAGTAGATGGTGAACATGAAAAAACACGCATAAAAGAAGTGATAATATATGGGAAAAAATAGAGTGCGTAAGGAACAATTTCTCCATTAACAAAAAATAGATGCATAGAGAAGTATTATTATTTGTTAAGAATTTGTAATTTTACAAACAAAACTGAGAACTGCTATTGACTGAGGACAGTCAAATTCAGCCATATTAAATTATGGAGATACAGTGAAATTTAAGATAGCTTTCCATTAAATCTGCAATTCTGATTACACTCCCCGAAATTTTGCCTAATTTAAAGCAACCCATTTGAACTTGAGACAAAAATGATATGGCTTTCATTTTGGAGAAATTCTCCTATTTTTATTCAGAACATCTAAAAATAAATTGGGCTCAGAAATACCACATTTTAACAATATGATGAGGTTGGTGTCTGTTTAGTTTTGAAGTACTGGGCTTCAGAATCAGTGGTTGATTAGGTATGTTAGGAACTGCTCAGTGTCTACTTATGCACAACACACATTGGTGCTTTCACATGCTCCAGCAGGTGCAAACATCCAAAAGCATAACAAAATGTTACAGAAGTAGGAGTGATGTTCTAGATACCATATGATTTAGGAAAAGGAACACAGATCTATAGAGTTAAAATCCTATTTCTTCTCACATCTTCTAAGGGTTTACTTTATTTCTCTTAAATAGCATTTCACAAACATTATTTATTTATACCTTAAAAAACCATGAGACAAATTAATATCAATCATCTCTATCTTATCATGAAAAAAAATCAACGCACAAAAGTGTTTTGCCAATATCAGACAGCAAATTAGTGTCAGGACCAGAATTAAATCACAGGTCTCCTGGCTTTCATAGCTAAGCCTAATCATGTAGACAAGTGATATCCAATCTATTTCAATTCAGGATCATCCTCATTTTTTTCATGTTGTAACCCAGAAGCCTTGTCAGACTGGAACAATGGCAAAAATTCAGAGGTATTTTAGGGACTGTAATGAGCTGTTTGGTGCAGAACAGTTGCTGTTTGGACTGCCTTGTTTCATGAGTAGGAGTTGCTGCTGGCTTATGAAAATGCTTCCTTTCTCTCTCTCTCTGAAATTTCCCATGTCCTCTCAATCTGCATTGAGACAATGCTATTTCAAGAAATTATGAGCCTGTTCCAATGACTCTAGAAGAGTGGTTTCTCAGCCTTTTTGTACTTGAGGCAGCCCTCAGTGGACTTAATAGCTTTTGTGAATTAAGTGGGACCCAATTTTAAAAACTAGTTTATATATATCAGTGGGCACGTCTACATGTGACGCTTAATGCGCAGTAACCTAATAACACTGCACAGTAGTGTGCTGGGTAAAAACCAAGCTAATAGGCTACTGTGCAGTATGTGTCACTAAAAAGACCCTGAACCGGTGCTACTGCACAGTAACTATAGTTACTGCACATTTAGTTAGTTCTTCATTAAGCAAGTGCTAAACTAAATGCGCAGTAGTAACTGCACATTAATGAACATGTAGGCACGTCCAGTCCTTACCTTCTTGCACAGGGGATGAGCAGTGGGGGTGGAGGCAAGGACAAGCCTGAGCCTGCACTAACCTGCTTATCTTCTCACATTTAGCAAGACCTTCAAAGGATCTGGCAGCACCTTGGTTAAGAATCGCTGTACTACAAGCATTGTTTTCTTGTGCCAAAGCTAATCACTGTGCAGTAGGAAAGGGCGAGTTTGGGAATGGGGCATCAGCTGCAGCAAGAAATGATTACTAAACAGTCAGGGGAGCAAGCAGGTCCTTCAGTGCTCTCTCATGGCTTCTGGAGGGTTTTTGCAACTATGAGATTCTGCTACGGTTCCCGGTCATGTGGGTGCAGCTCAGCAGGCAACCCCTGGCAACACACCTGAAATGTTCTTTATCCATTACTTGAGAAATTCTACTATAAGCCACAGTGCTTCTTAGATAAGACATTTAAGTCAGCTGAGAAACAAAGAGATTTGCTTTGTATATTATTTCTTTGGCAAATTGAATTCTATGAATACTACATCAAACAGTATTTTTAATGTATCAAAAGCAGACCGTAAAAACACATAGGTTGCTTTGATTGATGTCTATGGAGAAATTAGTAATGACTTCTTGTTAAAAAATAGGCCAGAGAATATGCTATTCAAATGATGAAAATCTGTGCAGTAAAAATAAAAAATATACTGGTATATTTATTCATAACATGAATTTCTATTGATATCAAAAGCAGGAGACAATCAGTCATTCATCCTACTGAAGTAGGTAAAAGGAGCCCAAAATCAACAGGAATTTGCATAATAAAAGGTAACCATATTGAAGTACATTGTATTAAATTATGGAAAGCAGCTGCTGTACATGCTTAGAAATTATTTAAAAAAACAAAAAAACAACAACTTGTGTTTCATTAATAGATACTCATCTAGCCTATCTTAAATTTCAGTCTAAAATTGCTGGAAGCATGAAATTAGAACCTGCTGAATAATGGGGTTCTTGACAGATTCCTGATTTACTTATCCTTCTAGAAGCTCGTATGAAACTGCAAAGAAAATCACTTCTTTATTAATTATATGATCCTTAAGTTTGAGACACCAAAATAAGACCAAGAAAAATATGTGTTTATGGTAGACATACTGTATTTGAGCTTAATTTACTACAATTCAGCATTATGTAGCTTGTTATGGCATAGAGATATTTTTGATGTATTTAACAATTGGATACTGCAATTGAATTATTGGTAAATCCCAGAACTGTCAAAAAGTCAGTGCATGTTAGTTTCTTTGTTAGAAAGAAAATTCTTTTCTCTGCTTTTGTGGCATCAGGCAGTGCTCTCATCAGTCACTTTCATTCTTTAATCAAATAGTATTAGAGACGTCAACATCTTCATCAATCTTTTTTTTCTATTATCAATCAAACTCGGTGTCACAGTAGTCAACATCTTTATCAACCTGTCAGCTCTCCCTTTTATCCATTTTACTATCACCTATTTTCAATTTATCACCATATTCTATTATGGTATGATAGTTTAAATAAACCCTAACTGGGTTATTGTAATATTACTACTTACTTTACACATACATTCATTCTAAATAACCCCAAAGCACTTCACAAAGTAAATCTTTAAACCATCTCTGAACAGTTGTCATCAATGAGAGGGAGGGCATTAGCTAACTAATACAACACGATAATATATAACAATGTGATTGAAGGAGAATTTTGGCTAAACAAGTACAGCAAAAAGTACTCCCTTCAGGTATTTAAAGTGTGACCATCACAGAGCTAAGTGAATGGAGTCAAATATCCTAACAGTCTGATTCCCTGCTCTCTGTATGCACAAATATGTCTTGCAACGTTTTCTTTTTCTTTCCATCATCATCCTCTTCTTATAGCCTTTAGAGATGTTGTTGTGGGAACTCCAATGTAAGTAAATTGGTTATATTTTGCTCTGAAAGTTGTAAGAACTGAGAACATTCTCAAAGGAGTTCTGTAGTTGTGGGCTTGCTGCAAGGAAGGCATGTGAATTTTATCCTGGGGGTAATCAATCTGTGTCCCTTTAGAGCAGGGGTGGGGGAAAAAACAGCTTGCAGACTGGATCCAGCTCACTGAGGGATTTTATCCGGCCCATGGTGGATCCCTCTGTCACACCTTCCCAGGTGCAGGGGCAGCCTAAGCTGTGGCACATGAGGCTTCTCCTGCCACCCCCAGGTGCACAGCAGGGCTCGGGTAGTGCAGCAGCCAGACCATCTCCTGGCAGCCTTTCTGGTTGCCACTGCAAGACCCAGTCCCATTGCCTGAGCACCCCGGGTTGTCCTCCCTGCACCCACCACTGTGGGCAGGGTGCTCAGCCTGGTGGCAGGTATGGGGCTGCAGAGCCAGCAGGGAGTGGCATCCAGGAGCAACATGGGTGGGTGGGGCCTGGAAGAACCCAAGATCTCGGGGCAGTAACAACATGGGGCCAGGGCATGGGTCAGAGCTGCAATCCACTGGCTGCACACCCCTGCAACAGGAACGGGTTCCATGGGCAGGGGCAGGAACATGCAGAGAACACATCGTGGCTCTGCCCCAACCCTTCAATGTTACTGCCCTGCAACTGGGGAGTTGCATCCAAGGGCAGAGCCAGGGTCTTGGGACAGTGACAGCACAGGGCTGGGACCAGGGCAGAGTTATGACCCACTCCCTGCATGCCCACAGAACTGGAGCCCATCACAGAGGCATGCAGACAGCAGATCATAGCTCTGCCCTGGACCTTGGATACAGTGGCAACGCGTAGAGGGTGCATGGGGGGTGTATGTGCACCCCCTGAGAGCGCTGGTGCCCCCCTAAAAGCGCCGGCCAGGGAGCGTGCAGGGAGAAGTGGTCCTCCTCCTCCGGCAGCAGATCCTGCTGACCTGGAAGAGCCAGTGGTGCGCCGCTGCCAGTTGCGGAACAGCAGGATTGGCTGTGGGGGGACCCCCTGCCTCCGGTCAGTGATTGTCAACTCAGGAGGCACCAGTCGCCCATGCTCAGACCCATGCTGTCACTGGTCTGTGACCCTGTCCCATGGTCCTGGCCTTGTCTGCCTGTCCTGCTCTCTGCCAGCCTATGGCCCAAGCCTACATATGGAGTTTTGGAGAGGTTTTGCACAGGGCGGGTAGGTGTGGGGGTGGGGGCTGTTGACCTGGCCCACAACAGCTCAGCAAACCTCCCTATGTTGGCCACAGGCCCAAATAATTGCCCACCCCTTTTTTAGAGCATAGCTTGCCCACAAACTGCTTAAAATACAGGT